CCTAAACGAGCTCACTCACCTCGACTCGATCTCCCAACTCGTTCGCTTCAATGTTTTTTTTATTATTTATTGATTGGAGAGGCTAAGTTCTAAGCAAAACACATACTCGTTATAAAGATTGAGAGAAAGAAACTCCACAAACATCCTCCCGAAGGAGGTGACAACATTCTATCGGAGCTTATGAAATAAACAAAATTCCTAAAGAAAGAGAATAAGCATATGATGCCGACCGATCGACCACCCGGTTGGCTTCTCTATAAATATGAGTAACCTACACCTCGTTAGGGTTTATGAAGCCAATCAAGAATTATGGAGGTCAACCGATGATAGAGACCATAATGACCTTCGAAGATAGAACTAAGTTGACTACGAGTCAAAAAGTATGATTCCAAAATAATATGTTGATATCCCAGCTTCCAAGCCATTTCCAGATCCAACTACCATACCCCATAGCTCTACATATAAGACAAGTACAAATACCTATACGGCAAGAGAACCTATGTAACCAAGATCCCGCATCATCTCTAAGGAGTCCCCGTGCTCGTAGCAACGCTAATCGATGCTCAAATAGCACTATCCGTATTGAGTTTCACCCAACCTATTCTTGGTTTGTCCTATCCAATCGAGTTTTGACTTTCCTCCCATTAGACTTGATTAACCCATAAGTCATCTCAAAACTAGTCGCAATATCATTACAAAAAGCATGAATGACTTCAATTGGCCTATCGGGCATAATGAAATTTTCATCAAAAATGAATTTATTCCTCCAAGCCCAAATAAACCAAGCAAGAAACTATAAAACAAATGCTCCATGACATCGCTTTTAGACTAGCAGAGTCGGATTTCTCCAAGTTTGTCCACAACCATTCTTTACAATCAAGAGAGAAAAAATGATTAACCCTATTCCTTGCTCCCACTTTATTCCAAACAGCAGTACTGCAAGCAAGACAATCTCTTAGAACATGAGTAATGGTTTCTTGATCGGTATGACAACGGCTACAAAAAGGATTTGATGTCTAGTTTCTTTGCATTCTTTGTACATTGGTGAGAAGTTTATCGTGAAGTGCAAGCCATAAAAAGGTTCAAATGCATTGAGGTCCTTTCCATCCCCATACTAGCTTTTAATTGTCCCGGCCATTAGTACTCTCCAGTTGACGGGTTTCGTAAGTTGACCTTGTAGAAAATACCCCATTCGTTGGTTAAGGACCAAAAAGGCTTATCTTCCTCTTACGATGGAACTCGGCGGAGGCACCCTTACAATTTTCAAACAAATTTCATTTGGAAGTAAATTCCCAAAACTCTCCCACTTCTAGTGCCCCATACACGTGAGATACTCTCCCATCTTGTTCTTGGTGAACTCGGCAGCTATGGGTATTCATGTATAGTTTTTTAGAGGGCCAATTGAAGGGATCCAATTGTCCGTCCAAAAACTAATATTTTGACCATTACCAATAGACCATCGAACAAATTTTCAAATATCAAATCAAACTTTGGATAGCCCTCTCCACATATTGGAACAACTAATCCGCAAGATAGAAGAAGGTCTCTGTTGTATATGAACCTTATACTTACCGCATAAAATATTGACCCAGTAGGAAGAGTTGGCGGATATGATTTCCCATTCCATTTTCATTAGAAATGCATTATTCACGAGTTGTCAACTTTCGTAAGCCAAGACCCCCATGCTTCGAGGATGGTAGACTTTATCTCAAGAGATGAGATAAGTTTTTTGATGGCCATTTGAACTACTCCAAACAAAGTCCGTACAAAGCCTTTCAATAGTCTTTATGGTCGCTGCTCGGGAGACTAATGGTCCGTATGCTATAGATAGGGATGACAAGCAAGCATCGATTGAGTTAAAGTTACTCTTCTTGTAAGTGTCAACTCGTTTAGCCTTCCAACTTGATAACCTCCGACAAACTTTCTCCATTATATGTTCATAAGTATTCTTGCCGACTCGATTATGATGACGGGGCGCCCCTAAATACATTCTCAAATCATCTATCGGATGAAACCCCGATTGCTTGCTAAGTAGTCCGACTTTCCCTCTCGATACATTCCGAATACAAAAAATTCGAGTTTTAGCCACATTAACCTTCCGACTCGAAGTTGAACAAAATCTATCTAGAGCCTCCAACATGACATTCAACCGATCACTCTTTACTTCCGCCAAAAAAATCAAATCATCTCGCAAAGAACAAATGTGTAATAGGTGGGCCTCCTTTACTTAAGTAAATTGGTCTTCATCTATTCTCTTGAACCGCCTTTTGAACAAGGTGACTCAATCTTTCCATGCAAAGTACAATTAGATAAGGAGACAATGGACCCTCGACGGATACCTCTAATTGGCTTGAAAGCATATGAGGTCATCCCATTGAAAGTAGTTTCTAATTCAGCTAAGGACAAACATTTCATAATTAAAGATCATAACGGGTGAGGCAATTGCGGATCCAAGTAATATGTCCAACACAAACCCCTATCGAAGCCTATCATAAGCTTTTTCCAAATCCATCTTTATTGCCATCCAACCTTTCGTCCCTTTCTTCTTATTCATGGAATGTATGACTTCTTGTGCAATGATGATGTTGACTGTAATTTTTCTTCTCGGAATAAAGCTAACTTGAGAAGAGGCAATGACAAATGAAAGAATAAGTTTCAGCCAATTCACAATGGCCTTTGTCAGCACCTTATAAGATACATTGCATAGGCCTATTGGGTAGAATTGATTGACGGACATCAACTTTTGGTACGAGGACTAACAAAGCTTTAGACAGATCCATATCCCAAATCTCATACTTGAAATGTACCTGCAAAAAGAGTTCTCAATAGTTTGCCACTGTGCCCGGTAGAAGGCTGCATGAATGCCATCAACGTTCTTTATAAAATAAGTTATACAGGTATAACTACAAAGGAGTTTTAACAAAAAATATAAAAAGGAATTTCAACCAATGCATATATCTTACAAACCGCGTTTAGGGTGGACAGCATTAGATAACATTATCCAGAAACTACGAAACGCGCCGTTTCGGATTCTGAACTAGAAAAGGTCCTCTTTTAAAATTGCTCTCTCCCCGTTCTCAAATTTCTCCAGGCTCCTGTCTCTTGCTCTCTGACAGCCAACCGAAGCGTCACACTCCCTTGTCTCTGGCGGTCGCCGCCTTTCTCCACTTCTTAAATCAGGTAAGCAATCAACACCTCCCTCCTCTTGGTTTAATAGATTGTATATCTTAGGGTTTGTATACGCTTAATCAGTTAGATTCCCTGCTAATTAACAGATTTAATTTCGCTTAAGATCTCAATTTAATTCTTCTCTTTGAAATCACAGACCCTATTTTGGGTTTTCAATTAGAATTTCGAAAATCGTCTTATTTATTTATTTATTCAATTCATTTGTCGCAGTTCGATTTCTATATTTCAAGATGCCGGCAACAGCAGGAAGAGTTCGCATGCCGGCGAACAACAGGGTGCACAGTAGTGCAGCCCTGCAGACTCACGGTATATGGCAGAGTGCAATTGGGTACGACCCCTATGCACCTAATAAGGATGACTCCAAAAATCATCTCAGGAGCTTTCCTCCAATGCTGAGCCTGAAGGTGAGAATGCGTATGCCAGCTTTCAGGGTCTGCTGGCGCTTGCCCGTATTACTTCATCCAATGCTGATGAGGCTCGTGGTGCTTGTAAGAGATGTGGTCGTGTTGGCCACCTTGGTTTTCAATGTAGGAATTTTGTGAGTGTTAAGGATGGTGATAAAGAGAAGGATGCAGAAGCAGTTCAGGCTGCGGTTTTGTCTGGGTTGGAGAAGATAAAAAGGAATGGGAAACGTGCAGCTGAGACTGATGAGAGTGAAGATGATGAAGACGAGAGTGAGACTTCAGATTCTGAGGTGGATTCGGAGATTGAGCAGATTATTGCTGAAAGGTATGGTAAGAAGAAGAGTAGTAGCAAGGGGAAGTCATCTAGGAAGGAGGAGGGTTCTGATGAGGATGAGTCAGATTCTGATCCCAGGGGGAGGAAGAAGAGAGGAAGGTCGAAGAAAAGGAGGAGTAAGAAGAGGGTGAGTAGTGATTCAGAGGATGAGGATGAGGGTAGGAGGAAGAGGAGAAAGGAGAGAAGAAGGAAGAGGAATGAATCATCAGATGAAGAGGATGAACGGCAACACCGTAAGAGGAAGAGTAGGAAGGAAAAGAGGAGAAGGAGAAGTCATCGGCATTCTGATGATTCTGTTTCAGATGGGTCTGGGGATTCTCGTCGAAGGCACAAGCAGAAGAGCAGGAAGGCATCATCTTTATCTGATCCTGATGCCTCTGGCTCTGATGACCCACGGGTTGGAAGAGATACAAAGCGTTCTGGGAAGAAGATCAGGAAACGCCGTCATGAAGATGATGAATGATATCTAGCTTCGAAAGGTAACCTTTCATTCTTTAATTTCAAGTCAAACACTCTGGTCCTTGTTTTGTTAATTTATACTTTTTCTTTTTGGACCTGAGGGCACCATGCTGGAAAAGCTTAAACACTCATCACCGTGTTATCTCCTTGTGTGTGTGTGTTTATCTGTGTCCCTTCCATTTCAATCAAAGTTTCTGCCCACCCCAGCTTCTCTCATACATTTCGGTACTCTTTTTCTAGTATTACGTTCAAGGTCTATAATCACTTGTCAGCCCTGCATTTTTTTAATCTTGACTTTTGTTGTAAAAAAATTAGAGGAGTGTTTTCTTATCTTGAAGAATTGAATGCCCTTTTGGAGTTTAACAGTCTGTTTATATGTCAGTTTTATTAACAAAACATGAAGGATAAGGGTCGAAATATATTTTTAATCCAATTTTGGACAAGTCAAACATTTTAATCGGTCTTTGCTGAATGTCTATTTTTTCCTTGTAAAAATTTAAAACTTTGAAAATATCCATCTGTTTGGTTGCATGATTTAAAATACGCCTTTTCATGTACAAACTACAGTAGATTTCAGCATGTATTCTCTTTGGAAAAGGATTGTTCAATCGCTTATGGCCAACATTTTTTGCGGTTTGCAGTACTATCGAGAAGGTGATGTCTCCAAGATTCTAGGTATAAGTCAGCTGCAGCGGACAGACTGGAGCGCTATTTATTTGTTGTTGTTTTCGACATCCCAGTATGTGAAAATTTATCTATTGCAAATGTTAACAAAAAAAGAAGAATGTTTGATAACTTGTATTCTAGACATGCTGTATTTGCCGATCGGTTTAATGTCCCATGAAGCACCATTTTCAGTTTAGCTTGATGTACAACAAGTATCGCAGAATACCAATGGCTTGATTTTCTGTGGAATCAATTTTAGATATGGTTATCATATGTGTGAGGTTGATTTGGTTTGTTTGTCTCCTGTTATTGTTGTTAATGGGTGTTGTTTTATTTTTCAAAAAAAAAAAAAAAGGCTTTCTGTTAGCGGGTTTCGCTAATTCGGACTTATCTCTTGACTCTTACATGTATTTAATGTTATCAGTGCGGTATATTGTTCTTCCATGGTGTGCCATGTTCATTTAGCAGTATTTGGGCATGGCCATATGAAGAGGTTATAACGTGAATGCTGTTGAGCCACTTCGTGAGCTTCATCAATAACTCGATGGTCTTTTATGATTTAAGTCTTATATATCATAGACGTGGCTAATGTTTTTGGCTTATGCAACGATTCGTGTCTGTTTGGTGTTATGAGGCACGGTGCTCGTTTTGATGTGCTTTTGGATGGTGCTGACATCTTCATATCATCACCATCCAAAAGCACCTGAAAAGCATCATTTTGATGATTTTTCAGCTTAAATTCCCTTTTTTCGGTTCAAATTCACTTTGAAAAGCACCCTAAAAAACACTGCAACCGTACTGACAAGCCGACGATAGTAGGGTACCTCGAATTTTTGTTCGTGGAAGGGCAATGCAGAAGCATATGGCAACTGCTTGCATGTGAAATAAAGATTAACGGGACATAATGTGGGCTTGGCATATAAAGTACGCTCTATATGCTCAATTGCAATAGGAGAACATGATTTTTTTTTAATACAATTGTTCTCGATGAAGTGTTCTTGCAGCTTCACAGAAACCACGAAGAACTTTGGATCTATACTCATTAAGCAATTGAAGCAAATTTCAACAACAAAAATAACAGAACATAATTGTCAGAATAATCTAATAAAAACACGTACACATCCACCAGCTACCAAGTGCCACCTCAAATTGCAACGTGGCTCTGCACTTGTTAAAGGGAGGAGTGCCTCTACAAAAACAGCCAACTCCCATTTAGTAGCTAGCGGTGCTATTTATATATACATCCTATTTGACAGTACTTGCTATGACAACGTCGAAGAGGAAGGAGATAGGTAACATGTCGGCTGCACAGGTGGATCCCCATGACAAGATGAGGTCAAGTGACGTGAACTATGTGGCTAGAGCTGAACAAGCTCCTGCGCCTGTTCATGAATATGGTCAAATCAACCGAGCCCCTCGTAAACATGCAGAAAAAGAGGTCCACGAAGAGCAGGAGGAGGAGAAAAAAAAAACTATGCAAAGCCAGGGACAGCACCTGCCGATGTACGCTTTCCTACTATGAACCAAACCCGCCATTGCTACACCTGTTACATTGAGTACCACAGGTGAGTGTATATGCCTATGCGCTAGCTACTCTTCATCTTCCTCCTTTCTACTGTTATAATTCCATCTGTAATGTAATATTATACAGGTCTCATCCCATGTAAATTCCAAGTTCAACCTAGTTGAATGTTAATGCATATTGTCTCAAACTAGGATCTTTCTGTTTAGCCTAATGATTCTTGAGATGATACCGCTACTTGAAAATCTTTGCTTTCAAGGTCCTGTTATGACAAAAAGTGCAGTAGTTTCTTGATTGCAGAGAAAATACGTTAACAGTTTGGGGTGATGTCTCATGGATTGTTGGTTATGTATTGATTTCTGTCCTTGAGTTCCACATTCACATGGTTTTGGCTTTATGTTGCTTCTTATTTTTGTTAACTTGTAAAGGGGGATCTTTCGTTTACTTTCTATCCACCAATTACTCTTGAACCGAAGATGTCTATTTGTGGTCAGAACAAAAAAGTCATTGCCATGAGCTGTATCATACTTGATGTTAGATGCATGTCCTTGTTTTTCATTGATTTGTTCACAACAAATCAATGACTTCCCTGTTGTTTACATGGCGAGGTAATTATGTGGCTTATGATGCTGCAATGTTATGAGTTTAATGTAGCTGAGACTTTTCAGAGATATTTGTGCTTCCATATTGCAATGCAAATTGTTATCATCACTTTTATTAACTTGGGATTTTTTTCACGGCTTAGTTCTGTTTATTGCCATTTTCTTGACATTCTATTATTTTTAATGGAATTCCTTGTTTAATTGTGCATTGCTGCAAACGATCATTACCTTTCTCCACTTGGCAGGTTCTTGCTGTGAAGAATGTGCTCCAGAAGCCTATAAGTTTGATTCAAGGTCCGCCTGGCGCAGGAAAAACTGTCACTTTCTGCAGCCATTGTATATCACATGGCCAAACAGGGCCAAGGGCAGGTAAGTTCTTTAAAATGCTCACAATCAGTCTCATTCAGATATTTGACTGCATGTGCTAAGTTACTTCCACTCCTACTTTAGGTTTTGGTGTGTGCCCCAAGTAATGTAGCTGTAGATCAACTGGCTGAGAAGATGAGTGCCACTGGCTTAAAGGTAAGAAAGCAAAGCCCTGCCTAATTACTAATTTCATATAATTTTTTCCCTGGCATTCTGTCGTTCTGTTGCGTTGTCTTGAAAAACATTGAAGCGTATGAGCCTAAGTTGGAAAATTTGGAGTTACGTTTGTAATAAAAAAAATGTTTGTTGGAATGGACAAAAGAAGATTGTCAAGCAAGAGAATAAACCGTCCTCTATACTGAAAGTACAGATACTGAGATCAAACAAGAAGGCCTTCCTATCTTCACAAATATTAGTCAAAGAGACCTTTCTAGATTTTCCAGGAGCAACAAGCGAGATACTAAGAAAATCTATCCTTTCCCATCATAGCAACTTTGAGACGAATTGACCATTTAAAGTCGAATCCAATGCAGAGCAACATAGCACCTTCAAAATGATTTTGCATTCTGTGCCTTTCCAAAACTCAATAATTCGGCTAGCAAATTCTTGTTTTATTCAATCACATCTGTCCCTGCAAATAGTTGCCCATAAGAAATAGCATCCTCATACTTTGCTTTGATGATGGTCTTGTGTTGTTGAAGGCTCAAATTAAATTTTTGAAAAGGAAAACCGGTCCTTGGAAATATTTACTGGTATTTTCATCTTTTTTTCTCCTCTTTATTATTATTTTTTTTTCCCTGATGGTCTTGTGTTGTTGAAGGCTCAAATTAATTTTTTGAAAAAGAAAACTAGTCCTTGGAAATTTGTGGTGGTGCTTTCATATTTTATATAGTAACACAAACAACTATGGGTATGTTACACTGACTGCCAGGGTGCTCAAAATCTTTTGTAATCCTGGTCATTTAAATTAACAAGTATAAGTCTTTTGTAATCCTGGTCATTTAAATTAACAAGTATAAGTATTTTGATGTGATTTTGTTTTTTTGTGGATTGTAGTTCCTAAACTAAGGTTGTTAGGCTATGTGCAAAATCAAGGGAAGCCGTTAGTTCTCCTGTTGAGCATCTCACCCTACACTACCAGGTTTGCAAATCAGTGGCACCTTCCTCTTTTTTTTTTTTTTTTTTCCCTCAATGTGAGCTTCTCGTATTTTAGCTTTCTTGGTATAGATTCTCATATCTAGTGATTGTTGCAGGTTAGACATCTGGACACTTCAGAGAAAAGTGAACTTCACAAGTTGCAGCAATTGAAAGATGGACAAGGTGAGTTGCACACAGCTGCACATTCATATGCATTCAAAATATGTGGGATTATATGATTTGGAAACTTTTTGGTTTGTCACTCATTCCTTTAGAAGTTTATTGTATTCTTAGTAATCATAGGAGGAACTGTAACTAGCTTCTGGATTTGAGCCTGATACTACTAGAAGTTGCACAAATAGCTTTTCCCTGAAAACATAATTTCTTTTGTTTCTGGTGTTGTAGATTTTATACATGTCTTTATATAAAATTTTCATTCTGAGCTCGCTCTAATGCTGTTCTCTTTCTTTCTTTCCCCTCTTGTCTGTTCCTATATCAACAGGAGAACTGTCCAGCAGTGATGAGAAAAAATACAAAGCACTGAAACGAGCAACAGAAAGGGAAATTTCTCAAAGTGCTGATGTCATCTGTTGCACTTGTGTTGGTGCTGGAGATCCTCGGTTGGCAAATTTTAGGTTTCGCCAGGTAGAAATGCATCTTATTTTAACCTTTTTTCACTCCACTCTTAGAAGCTTATACCCTTGGCCCTATTTTAGGTACTCATTGACGAGTCAACTCAGGCGACAGAACTAGAGTGTCTTATTCCTTTGGTACTTGGGGCAAAGCAGGTACTTGAGATTGTTTTGACATGCCCAGTTTACTATCACATGCTTCAGTTTCTGATGACAAGTTATCTGCTAGGTTGTTTTTGTTGGTGACCATTGCCAGCTTGGTCCTGTCATAATGCGCGAGAAAGCTGCTCGCGCTGGGTTGGCCCATTCTCTATTTGAACGCATTGTTTTACTTGGTGTGAAACCAATTAGATTGCAGGTAATGTTGTTGTTTGTCAGTTCTCTCTCTGTGTGTGGTCTGCTCATGTACATGTTCAGGACATTTATCTTGGTTGGAGGAAGTATGGTGTATAGGAGCTTTAGAGCATATTTTAGATGGTCAAACGTCATGTAGATTCGATTTAGTTGAACATCAGATGGATTTCTGGTCTCCTGCTTCTTATAGATGGAGTGGGAACTGGCGATTGATTAATCTGTCTTTGGCAAGCATTGTAAGGTTCGTTTCTAGGGAATGCCTTGTGCAGTCGTGCTGCTGATTGAAACATGTTCTAAGCTTTATTTATAAATTGAGGTGATACAATGAGGTGAGATAAGAGGTGAAAAGTGAACCACGCAAATTGAAACTTTGGCTTGCTCATGAGATGCCATATGATTTTAAAAGCTCAACCATATGCTCTCATCTTCAATACAAATAGAGGGGCGGATCTCTTGGTAGACAGAATGCTGAATTTATTCATTGATACAGATACGTCTATATTATGTTATATGCCTGAAGAAGTCTTGAGGGAGACCTGTCTTCACAAAAATGGATATATCACTACCAGCAAATTTTCTAGCTTTGTTCCCATTGGTCAATAGTTTCCCAATTTTTTTTGACTTTGCCGATGCATTTTATTTGGTGTTTGCAAATTTTTGGCTTGACTCAAGTTGTTAATGCATTTATGCCATTTTTTTTCCTCCATCGCTTCTTGTTATGATTGATAATTTCTTTAGTTGGGAAAACGTAGCAGTTGATTGCTCATTTTCATCATTGGTGAGAATATTATTGTTGAAAGTAAATAATTTAGAATAGAGTAATTTATGACGTAAATATAAAAAGTTTGTATGTTACTTAAGTTAGGGAATTCTTTCTCTTTTTACATTTAATATTTCCTAAATAGACTAATCGATTTACTATATATGTAGGCTATAACTCTTTGTATTTGATACGACAATACAACTATTATTATAATTTTCTATATGGTATCGAGTTAACCTAGTTCCCGTGAGAGGAAAAAAAAAACCCCTAACTCGTTTAACCTACACACAGACCTTCTCATCCAACCTAGCCGCAACGACCACAACTCTACCATGTTTGAAATTAAATCGACTCCACGACCACTAATCCTTCTTCATCTACTTCATCCATTCGAAAAAACTCAATCCTTGGTTTCCCTTAAATCTCATTCAGTCCAAATAACTACTAATCGACTGAATAGAAATAATTTCTTATGCTAGTCTCAATCCGTGCTCATGTATATTCGAGGAAGAGGGAAAATTGGTTGCATTACTCGGAGATAGGAACCTACCTTTGATGATCAAAAATACCCCACATGGGATGCCCAAAACTCTATGGCAATGACATGGTTGGTAAACTTCATGGAGGAAGACATTAGCTCCAACTACATGTGTTATCATACAACTAAGAAGCTTAGGGATAATGTCAATCTTATGTATTTGAATTTGGGAAATCGATCCTAAGCCTATGAATTGATGTTAAAACTTGAAAATATCCGTTAAGGCGAAGACAACGTTACCAAATCTTCAATTCACTAAAACGCCTATGGCTAGAATTAGATTTATTTAATACTCATGAATCGAAATCTTCCGATGATTCCAACTATCATAAAAGAGGGTTAAAGATGATCGGATTTTTAAGTTTCTTATTGGTTTGAATGTTGAATTTGATGAAGTTAGGAGGAGGATAATTGACGGACAACCCCTTCCCTTTATTGGAGAAGTTTTTTCTAAAGTTCGTTGTGAAGAGAGTCACGGACTTATCATGTTTGGCAAGAAGACTTTAAGCGACATTCTTGAGAATTCTACTTTGGTTGCTCGTGAAGTCTATGCTAGCAACCATGAAAAGACTTGTGTATAGTGTGATCATTGTAATACGCCAAGACACACCGTGAAACATGTTAGAAACTTCATGGTAAACCAACCAATTAGAAAGGCAAGTATGAGGGGAATTTTAATTAGCAAAATGGTCAAATGAGTGTTCTCACCGCAAAAGAAGCCGAAGTCGTCTCATTTAATCCTCGACAAATGGATCATATTTTCAAGCCGTTAAAATCTAATGTTGCATTATCGGGTACTCCTAATGCTTCTCTTGTATAAATAGATAGTAATTTAAATGTCTTAGTTTGTTATTCTCTTTCGCAATCCGTTTCTTGGATAATAGATTCGGGAGCATCCGACGAGTATGACTAATTTTTTCAATTTATTTCATACATATAATCCTTGTTCTAGACAAGAAAAAATTTGTATAGCAGATTGATCTTATTCTTCTATTGCAGTGCAAAGGTTTGGTCAAATTATATAAAACTTTATCTCTTAAATCTGTTCTTCATGTACCTAAACTTGCTTTCAATGTTCTATCTATTAGCAAAATATCCAAAGACTAATTATCATATTACTTTCTTTGATTCCTATTGTGTTTTCTAGTATCGAATTAGAGCAGGAATATTGGTAGTGCTAAGATGATAATGGACTCTACTACTTTGAAGATGAAGATTCCAAAAATAAAATATCTTAGGGGTTCGGTATTGTTAGTTCCACTCATATTAAGGATAAAATAATATTTTGGCACTATAGATTAGGACATCTTAGTTTTTTATATCTTATGAAACTATTTCCTACTTTATTTCGTGGAATAGATAGTTTTAATATTCATTGTGAACATTGCATTTTATCAAAAGGTCACAAAAATACCTATTATTCAAAACCATATCAACCTTCTCGACCTTTTTACCTATTTCATAGTGATGTTTGGGGGCCTTTAAGAATTCAAACCTGTTTTGAAAAAAATACTTTGTGACATTTATTGATGATCATACTCGATTATGTTAGGTATATTTAATGAATGATAAATCCGAAGTTTAGAATTTATTCAAAAAATTTTAGGCAATGGTTGAAACACAATTTCATACAAAAATTATAATTTTGCATACAAATAATGGCACTAAATATTTTAATAATACTCTTGGCAACTTCTTTAGAGAAAAGGGTATTTAACATTAACCTACTTGTGTTGATACATCACAACAAAATGTCATTACCGAAAAAAAAGACATTTACTAGATCTCTAAGGTGAAGTCGTTTTAACTACATCATATTTAATTAAAAGGATGTCCGCTCGTGTTTGAAATTACATTACACCTTAGAATGTTTCAAACTTTTTTTTCCCGATACTCGGATTTTTTCACACTTACCTCTTAAAGTTTTTGGTTGCACGAGTTTATATTTTTATCCTTTAGAAGGATCGATCAAAACTTGAACCTTAAGTTGAAAAATATGTTTTTGTTAGTTATGTAGCAAATAAGAAAGGATATAAATTTTTTCATCCATTAACTACCAAAATTGTTATTACTATGGAGGTTGTGTTTCTTGAAAATCAGCTTTATTTTTGAAATAATTTTCTTCGAAGGAAAAACTAGATGAAGAAAATAGTTAGGATATTCAAGTATATTTTACCTAAAGTCATACCTCATAATCCTATTTTGCCAAGTATATAAGAATCTTTGACAAGGGAAGAAACATTATTAAATAATTCTAAGGAATATAAGCCTCGAGGTTATTGTTTATACAAGGAAAAAAAGTCATAAAAAAGGTAGAGAATCATCTATACTCGAAGCACCACCAAGCCAATCTAATGCTTCGAATTCGAGTTCGAGTAATGTTGATTCTCCTAAGCTTTTGTCTTCTTCTACTAATTCTCCTCCTATTCCTAATACTTCTATTAGAATAGAATCTAATGATCCGGATATGCCTATAGCTATTAGGAAAGGAACTCATTCTTGTACTAATCATCATATTGTAAAGTATCCATCATATGATAGGCTCTCTTACAAATATAAGACATTTATATCAAAAATTTCTAACTTGTTTATCTCGAGAAACATTCAAGAAGCACTTGATGATCTAAAGTGAAAATTAGCACTTATTGAGAAGACCGATGCACTAAAAAAGAATGGGACTTGGGAGATTGTGGAATTACCAAAAGATAAAAAAAATAGTAGGGTAAAAATGGATGTTTATCATAAAATACTAATCGGATGGAAGTGTAAAAATATATAAAGTAAGACTTGTTACTCGGGGGTTTACTCAAACTTATGGTATTGATTACCAAGAAACTTTTATGTCGGTAGTAAAAATTCACTCCATTCGTGTGTTATTGTCTCTTGTAGTAAATTTTAATTGGCCTCTATAACAACTAGATGTAAAGAATCCTTTTTTGAATGGTGACTTAGAAGAAAAAGTATTCATATGCCCTCCTCTAGGATTTGAAAGTACTATTGGCCGAAATAAAGTGTGCGAACTTAAAAAGTCTTTGTATGGTCTTAAACGAGTCTCCTAGAGCCTAGTTTGAACATTTTAGGAAGGCAATAAAGACCTATGGATATCGCCAAGGTCAAACTGATCATACTATATTTTATAAACATTCTGATAAAGGTAAGGTTGTAATTTTATTTATATATGTGGATGATATGATTTTAACAAGTGACGATCTTGATGAATTATCAATGCTAAAGAAAAGATTAGCTAAAGAATTTGAAATTAAAGACTTAGGAATGTTCAACTACTTTCTAGGTATGGAGTTCGCAAGATCAAGAGAAGGTATATTTATAAATCAAAGAAAATATATTCTTGATTACTCAATAAAACCGACCTTCCGGGATGTAATGCAGCTAAGACTTCAATTGAAGCTAAACCTAGCTATTGCTAAAAATATGGTTGAAAGAGAAAAATTTCAACATTTGATTGGTAAGCTTATTTACTTATCCCATATTCGTCTTGATATTGCATTTACTGCGAGGATGGTAAGTCAATTTATACATGCTTCGAGTAAAGAACACTTTGATGTTCCATATAAAATACTAAGGTATCTTAAAGGGACGTCCGAAAAGGGATTGATGTTTAGAAAAAGTGGTAATGTTCGGACAGAATTTTACTCCGATGCTAATTGCACGGAAGCATTTTTGTTCGGTGATTAACATCAAGTTATTACATTTTTGTTGGTGGATATTTAGTCACTTAGTGAAGTAAAAAACAAAGAGTTTTAGCACGAAGTAGTCGTTGAAGCCGAATTTAGATCTCTTACGCATGACATTTGTGAGATAATATGGATTAAGAGATTACTAGAAGATTTATAGCTCTCATTTTTACTTCCTATGAAAGTGCATTATGATAGTAAAGCTGCGATTTCAATTGCTCATAATCCAATTTTTCATGATAGGATGAAGCATTTTGAAGTTGACACATATTTTATTAAAGAAAA